TTTCCTTTCTACCCACAAAATCGAAGTACCCTACCTTGGAACACTGGAGCAAAAACAATAAAGAATGACATCCTAAAACATCAACCAACTTGACAACTCTGTCAGTAAAAAAAACCCCCCAAAAAACAAAGAAACCAAAAAAACAACAACAACCCCCAACTATCTAATCAATCGACCAAACAACCACCCAACTGAGCAACAAACGAGGATGAGATTAATAAGACAGAAACACTATAATAACGTGTTTGCATTACATGTATAATATTATGCTATAAAACGGAGGATCTTTCCCCAAAGCGCCGAGGTAGCCCTGAAGAGCGCCGGTGGGTTATTCAATTGGCACAGAGTACCGGAGTAAGGGAAACTGATACGACGTAGAATACAGCAGGGAAACACAACTACTACATGTACTATGTTATTATGTTATGTCATATACGTCAAACCATCTTGTAGTTTCGCTTCCAGCTACTCTTTGTACCCAAGGAGTTTACAGTAGTTCTAAACTCCTTGATTGTACCCCAGGTTTGTGCGTCATTATCAAGATTACGTCAACAATGTACGCGAGTCAGTGCTTTATGTGGCCGCTTTTAAGCACAAGGGAGGGGGCTATCCTGAAAAATGCTGTTTTGAGAAAATCGAAGGAAAGATTTTTGGCCCTTTTTCTGTTTCTTTAAAAGACAAGGAGAGTTTTCTCCATAACCAAACAAATATACACCCCAATTAAACCAAACTTTTGGCGCTCATATGACCTTTTGCAGTTGCGAGCGCCGTAAAACCCTCTACTAAAACTAAAAGCCAAACTTCTCCTTTACGTTGGGCAATGCCCACTTTTGGTGTAGGTCAAGATCTCTGGAACCCCCGAAATCTGGGTTAGCAAGCTTGTCCTTATAAGCGACCAAATAATGTTTACTCTAATCAAACGCGAGAGTCGTTTCTTTCTTTCTTTCTTTCTTTCTTTCTTTCTTTCTTTCTTTCTTTCTTTCTTTCTTTCTTTCTTTTTCTTTTTTCTTTCTTTTTTGTTCAGTATTAGATCAAGTTTTCTTGAAAGCAGTAAGAAAATACAAAAGCTTTTCCTTTACTTCCGTTGAATAAAATGATAGGCCCAAAGGTCACAAGGCGTATGGTTAGAAAGTGGTGTCAAAAATCAAGCGGAAGACAGTCCATGTAGAAAATACTTTTGTCTGGGTTAAAACAGCAGAGTTCACAGAACAATGTTTCTTAACCCAGCAGAAAAAAATGGTCGCTTTTAATGAGAAGCGGGCTAACCCAGATTTCGGGGGTTTCAGAAATCTTGACCTACACCAATAAATGGGTATTGCCCTACCTATAGGAGAAGTTTGCTTTCATTGGTGTGTATATTTGTTTGGTTATAGAGAAAAGTCTACTTGTCTTTTAATGAAACTGAACAAGGGGCAAACATTTTACATTCGATTTTCTCAAAACAGCTTTTTTCAGGATAGCCCCCTTGTGCTTAAAAGCGACCAAATAACAATGACCGGAAAGCAGAGGGGATATTGCATAGATAGAAATACATTTCTGTATAAAGCAATGCGTAATACGGTGTTGTCCTAAGAAAAAAAGTGGAGCAGAGTACGTGTATAGTGAGCGATAAATCCAAAGTCGCTATAGGAATGCGAGTGCAGAGAAAACAGAACGCGTTGTCGTCAAAAAGGTTTAAAAAGTACATGATGTAGGCCAAGTTCAAATGTATAGTTGTAATCTCTTTGGTTGTCTTGAAAAGAGAATTGTGGAGTACATAGCAAACGATAAATCTGGTGTCGTCATAGAGGAAAGCAGTGCAGTGTATAGCAAAGGATAAATTTGAGGACAGTTGTAGCCTACAATTTATTGTATGGGATAAATCTGGTATCGTCAAACGAGAGAAGTACAGTGTATTGTAAAGGATAAAGTTGAGGACAGTAATGCAGCGTATTGTAAAAGATAAATTTGAGGAGAGTAGTACAACGTATTGTATGGGATAAATCTGGTATCGTCAAAGAAAAGCAGTGCAGTGTATAGTAAAGGATAAATTTGAGGAGAGTAATGCAATGTATTGGAAAGGATAGATTTGTGGACAGTAGTGCAGTGTATTGTATGGGATAAATCAGGTATCGTCAAAGGAGAGAAGTACAGTGTGTTGTAAAGAGTAAATTTGAGGAGAGTAGTGCATTACATTGTAAAGGATAACTCTGAAGACAGTAGTACAATGGTATCGTCAAAGAAAAGCAGTGCAGTATGTTGTAAAGGATACATTTGAGGACAGCAGTGCAGTGTGTTGTAAGGGATAAATCTGAAAACAGTAGTGCAGTCTGTAGTAAAGGATAAATTTGAGGAGAGTAGTGCAGTGTATTGTATAGGATAAGGATACATTTGAGGAGAGTAGTGCTGTGTATTGGAAAGGATAAATCTGAGGAGAGTAGTGCAGTGTATTGGAAAGGATAAATCTGAGGAGAGTAGTGCAGTGTATTGGAAGGGATAAATCAAGTGATTTCACAGGCATCAATCAATGTGCTCCAGACGCCCAGAGAGTATAAAAACGTGAAGAGTATGTATGGCTGCTGCATCTGATCAGTGACAGCATTGCCCTGCTGTGCAGTGCCGTGCTGTGCTGTGCTGTGCTGTGTTCTGCTGTGCTGTGCTGTGTTCTGCTGTGTAGTACTGTGTTCTGTCGTGCTGTGCTGTCCCGTGCTGTGTTCTGCTGTCCCGTGCTGTGTTCTGCTGTGCTGTGCTGTCCCATGCTGTGCTATACTGTGCTGTTCTGTGCCGTGGAGTGCCGTGCTATGCGTGCAGCGGCCGATGCGAGAAGGTAGAAGGTTTAAGTCTTGTACATGTAGCAGGCCTTGCAGGACTTCTGACAGTGTCGCAGCATGTAGCGGGGGTTCTTCTCGCAGTGACCGCTCTTGGCCCACAGCCCGCACAGGAACTCGGCGTCTCGGCAGCCTGGGGAGAGGTCATGGATGACGACACAGAGGGTTAGATGTTGTTTTAATTATTCCCAGATCATCATCATCATTGTCATTGTTATGTTCACCATCATCATCATCATCATCATCATCATCATCATCATCATCATCATCATCATCA